TTCCCCAGGACACCTGTAGGCCCTCCTGCTAGGCCCCTAGGAGCTCAACCCTACCTAATCCCATGGCGCCCAGCCATAGGGCCAGCAGGACCAGCAGCTGCTGCATAGGTTTCCTTCAATCACCCTGGACCTTCTTCCCTGCGTCTTCAAGAAATCCCCTAACCTTCACTGTGGCTAAATCTTGGCCTCATCTGTCAACCTCTTCAGGAAGAACCAAGACCCTCTTCCTCTTCTCTTCCCCACATCCCTGTCCCTGATGCTCTTTCCTACTGTCCGGGCCTATTTTCACTTATGTATTTGTTTTTTGAGGAACTGCCAAACATTTTGCACAGTGGCTCCACCATTTTACATTCCCATCACAGTGCACAAATGTTTCAATTCCTCTACCTCCTCACTCACCTCTGTGTGTTTGATAGTGGCCATCATAATGGGTATGAAGTAATACCTTATTGTGCTTTTTATTTGCATTTTCCTGATGATTACTAACATTGAGAATCTTTTTATTTGCTTATTGGCCATCTGTATATATGTTTTGGAGAGATGTTTAAGTCCTTTGCTCATTTATCAGTCAAGTTGCTTTTTTGTTGAGTTGTGGGTGTTCTTTATATATTCTGTATATGAATATTTATCAAACATATGATTTTCAAACATTTTCTTCCATGCCATCAGTTACTTTTTTGCTGTTTATAGTGTCTTTTGATGCACAAAAGGTTTTAATTTTGGTGAAGTCTAATTTATCTAATTTTTCTTTTCTTGCCTGTGACTTAAATTTTTAAAAAATCAACATCTGTAAATATGCTTTTTAAGATAAGAAGTATGACAAGGGGAGTAATTTTATGGGAAACTATCATAATATTAAATGAATATATACTGTGTATCCCCAAAATATTTTAGGAACCAGTTGACAAACTTTTAATTTTCAGAAGATGATTCAAATAGAGCTCACTTTTGTCTATTTTCATTATAAAAAAGAAACCCTACTACTTATTTTCTCCCTGGAATTATAAACTCTGTTGATAGATTGTAACTTCCTTAAAGCCAATGAAGATAAATATGTTTCTGTCTTCATGATAACCAGCTATTATTTGGTCTACAATACAATATAATATTTTTTAAAATGTATTTCAGCCTTGCTGTAAAAAACAGTCCAATGGGAACTTAGAGTTGTGTTTATCAAAAGGGTTTACTTTATTGAAGATGGTGTTTATTATATTACACAAGGATTCCTTCCCACAAGAAATCCTTTTTGCTGACTTTAGTGTCAAAAAAGGATGGGCATGTTTGAGGTGATGGATATTCCAGCTACCCTGATTTGATCATTATACTTTGCATGAATGTATCAGAATATCACATGTACCTCATAAATATATACAACTATTATATATCAATTTAAGAAAAGACTAGATGGGCTTCTCCAAGAAACTGGCTTGCTGTTATCTAATGAATGTTTTAAGCTATTAGTATTTTTCATTTGTATGAATTTTTTTCATTTTCATTATTTTGGTTCCCACTTTATGACTAATCATATTTTCCTCTAATCATATTTTTCTCATCTGCTTTTAATTTGTATTGCCCTCCTGAATTGTGTGTGTGTAAACGATATACTTAAATGCCTTTTGATACAAAGCATAATTTAAATAAATATATATTAAAGACCTTAAAGTTTTAAATGTAAAATAGAAAAATATTTTTGGCATAATGACTTTCGGTATAGTACAAACAGTCTAGAGCTTTGAAAACCATCCTTTCCATTCTTCCCTCACTCCTAATTCCACGTAGTCTTTAAGAGCATGGATTTAGAGTCACATGAACTTGGGTTTAGACCTTGCCTTATCATTTATAAGGTGTGGGATCCCAGGCATAGTTCCTAAATTTCAATTTTCTTATCTGTAAAATTAAGATAATGATATACAATTAATAAATAACTGGAAGGTATTACTATTATTCAGCATCAATTCTTCTGTATAGTAATTACACAAAACTATTGAAAGTGTAGCCTTTTACAAAATAAATTAGGACAGAATAAATAAGAACAGTCCAAGAAGAAAATTATCCATCCTTTTTCTATTTTATTTGGTTTTCTTGAGAATCCTTGTGAAAACAAATCATATACTGCTTGTTATAGAGTGACTACTTGCTTGTAGGAGGATGATTGTTAAAGATGGCTTTGAAGAACATAAAGAACAGGGGATTCTCAGGTCAACATATATTGGTTTCAGTGGTATCTAAAAACTATTTGTAATGTTTTCCCTTTCATTCATTCAAATGCAACTTCAGATTGAATGCCATCTGGGTACTCTACACAGTATTTAATTCATGAAAAATATGCTAGGATGGACTTTAGTCCTTGGTAGTTTTAATTTCTTTTCTTGTGGGTCCAGAAGAATGTGATTTCATTAGCCACTGTTGCATGTTATTATTATTCTTCATTTTAATAACTGTATGTCTCTATCTCCGTTTACCCGTTTACTGTTGCAAGGGTATGAATCCATTTTATTGTTAAGATGTGTTTTTTCAGTCTTTAGATGATCTGATATAGTCAAAGTAGATTAGATTTTGGATCCTCTGGGACTAGGTTTTAATTCTTGGTTTGCCTGTCAGTTACTTACTACGTACACTTAGAGAGTTACGTAATCTCACTGAGCTTTAGTTTCTTCACTTCTGAAATCAGTATAACAGTGGTCTTTTTGACACTACATGGCATCTCTCTGTTTACTTCCCATCCTCACCATTATCCTATAATCTTCTAAAGGAATATTCTACATGCAAGGCGCTCACTTTCTCATTTCCCAGTCACTCCTCAATCCCATAGTCTGTCTGGCTTCTCTTTGCACTATTCTGATACTGTTCTGGCTATAATCCCTTAATTCTAAGAGTACTTTAGTTCTTATCTTATTAGAATGCTGTGCTACATTTAACATTTGTCTGTCATGCCTTCCTTATTATTACCTTGTCCTCTCTGATCCATTTTTGTTTTCATTCTTAGATCCCCCTTGTCTGGCCATCCCTCAGTATTGTGGACCACTATAACTTTGACCCTATACAGTTGACGGGGATTGGTTCCAGGAATCCTCACAGATACCAAACTCTGCAAATGCTCAAGTCCCTTATATAAAATGGTATGGTATTTAGATATAACCTATGAAATTCTCCTGTATACTTTAAATCATCTCTAGTTTACATATTATAACTAATACAAGTACTGCATTCCTTGAGGTCTGTGTCTTCTTTACTCTTTTATCTCCAGCATTCATGGCAGTGTCTGACAAATAATTCTTTTATTTTTCCCCTTGTTTCTGATTTTAGAGTCTTCCCTTTAAAAAATAATCATGTTTAGCTCTGGGACACTGTAATTAGTACCAACTCTATTTGGGTATTCAGCACATGTTTGTAATGGTATCAATTTACATGTTTATTTTATTTACAAGTATTTCACTGAACTCTCACACACATCCATAATGTTGTCTTAAAGTCATTAGGCAGGGAGTCCCTCATCTTACTCACAGGCTGTGAATCTACCTGCATTTACACCCATCTTTTCCTCCTTCCCTCCTTTTTCAATAGAGACATACAGTTCTTATCCGCATTTAAATATCTTCAAGTCTCTAACATCTTTAAGAAAGAAAAACAAACTCTCTCTCTCAATCCCATATTCTCTAGATATCCTCTTATTTTTCTCTTCTCTTATGCAGCCTGACTGCTTTGAAGCCTTCTTAACTCATTCAGTGCTGGCTTATTGCCATCACTGTGAAAACAACTCTCAGGAATGTCATTGGTGACTTTCATGTTGCCAGATCCAGTGAGAACATATCGGCCCTCATCAGTATACACATAATAATGGAGAATGAAAAAAAAAGATTATTTAGAGAGGCTACAAAGTTACTCTAGTTACTTTAAGGAAGTTTGATAATATAGTAAAGACATCTGTGGCCTTATACTAGACCCTGTCAGGAATCAAAATGCTGACTCTTTTTCTTTCTCACTGGCTACATAATCTCTGTTCGGAAACTTGGCTACCTTTTGCACATCTGTTCTAATTTTATCTCTGTTTTTTCTATTATAATTTCTGCTCCTTCATAATTTCAGCTGGAATGTAGCCCATTATAGCCTCTAGTCTCCCTCCTTGATACATTGAGGACCTCTTAGTTTCAGCTAATTGCCTCATTTTCTTGGTATTCTTTACTTAAATATCTAGAGCCTTAGTTTTATTAGTCCAGTTCATCATTTGTATCAGGCCACTTCACAGGTGCTTGAAACCAACTTAATCTATAGCTGAGCCAATCACTTGTGAATTGCCCCGGATAATCCTGTGGATTTCTACTTTTAGATTTGAGTAAAATCCAAATGATAATGGATTAAGGAGTGCATCACAGATGAGGAAATAAAGATAAGGGCTTGAATCCAAAGAGGATGACAGACTATTGGGGAGCACACAGAATAAACAAAATCAAAAAAAGGGTATTGTTTTTGTTTTAAGATGGCAGAGATTTGAACATAGAACGAGTCAATTAATAGGAAATAGTTGAAACAAAGAGAGCATTTAATTTTTAGTCACTGAAGTAGTGTTAAGGTGGCAGAAGATGGTACTACAGAGTACAGAAAGATAGATTAGCTTTGAATAGGAAGGATAATTCTTCCTCTGAAGTGGGGTTTAAATAAGAGAGTAAGAATGTGATGCAGAAAAATTAGAAAATAGGGGAACCTGCCTGTTGGCATACTTTATGAAATAGTCAGCAAGGAGAACTGCGCAGAAGAAAGATTTCCAGTACTTGCTGAGGAAAATTGAAATAGGTACCTAACAACTATGAGTATGATGAAGTGATTTTCTTTTTCACTGTAGTCCATATGTAGGTTAATAAAGGGTGAATGATTTAGCTAGTTCACAGTTAAAATGGACTTAATTTGTGATATGGTAGCATTAATGCTTGCTTCTCCCATCCTTCATATTTGTTTTGTTTAACCATGTTTTCATTCTGATCTTTCATACTTTTATTTTGTAGGTCTTGATGACTGTTTGCAGCAGTATATTAAGAACTTTGAGAGGGAGAAGATCAGTGGGGACCAGCTGCTGCGCATTACACATCAGGAGCTAGAGGATCTGGGGGTCAGCCGCATTGGCCATCAGGAACTGATCTTGGAAGCAGTTGACCTTCTGTGTGCATTGGTAAGGACATAAAACTGGTGAAGAGTAAAACTTCTCTTCTTCTTCTTTTTTTTTTTCTTTCTTTACTTTCCCCTTTTTTCTACTCTTCTTTTGATAATTGAAATGCAAATAGAAGAAAAAAAATCCTAATTCTCAACCAATTGGACATGATATTTTCTTCCTTCCTTAAATTTGTTATATTAGTGCCAAATAACAGTTCCCTGCTTGTTAACATTTTTTATGAGTTGGGCATATCAGAACCTTAAGTCCACAGTGTATGTCTCATAAGCAGGGCTCTTCATAGATGAACCACTCATGCGCTAGGCTCTCACACTGCCAGTTTGAGGAAGGAAAGATTATTGATGATTGACAGTGTTACATACATATAGTCTAGACATTCGAAATTTGATCCATGAACAAGGATCTGCTGACCTAACTCTACTTAAAAGCAGGACATCAGAAATAGATGTCTAGACCACTTCTAAATTTGAACTGTGTAGCTGTGGTAAATCCTTTCAGATGCTGAGCTTTAAACCCTATACAGTTCTGGGTTTAAGCACCAGGTTTAAGTCATATCATTTGGATACTTCATTATGTGATTAAGCTCTAACGCAGAAAATAAATTTAAACACCAATTTTTTTTTCTTTTTATTTAGTGATTCCTTGGTCATAGTCCCCACAGAGGTCAAATATCAAACTTCCTTCTTACCCCTTCCTAATGTAATGGATACACATCAACAAGTCAGAAGTACAGATATATTTCAGTTTATGCAACAGATGATTTCTGAGGAATATAAAGCAAATTTTAGGAGTGAATTCTGATTTTCTTCTACATGCAATTATGAAATCAGGAGGTGAGATTCCTTATCAGCAGGCTAAGTTGACTAGTCCAGGAAGTTGTGCTATTGGGACTGTAACTTTACCTCCTTCCCCTCTGCCCACAAACTGCTCTTTGAATTTCAGTTTACCCTGCTATGTCTTGTCTCTCTGATCTTTACTGGTCTTTACATTTTCCTTATGTCTACTGTATTCATTTCTTTTTCAACAATTACATATGCTCAAACGGTGCTATCACTGGGAATGCAAAGATGAAAAAGACATAGTCCGTATTCCAAAAATATATACAGTTCATTAAGAAAGACAATAGCTGTTAGAAGACAACATAGATTTTTTTTTTTTTTAATTCCAGGGGAATGTGGAAAGAAATGAACACTTCTGAGGGATTCAGGTAGTGTAGGTAGAATTTGTATTGGGTCTTGCACAATGGTTAGATGTTTGCCAGACAAAAAGTTGGAGAAAAGTTGTCTAGGCAGAAGAAATATCATGTGTGAGACAGAATTGTGAAAGAATATGAAATATTCAGAGAAAATTGAGAATTTTCATTTAGCTTGCAGAGTGGGAATTGATGAGAAAAGAAGGTAACTTAACACTTTGTATCACATTACAATTATTTGTTTAGGTTCTTTTATCCTTTAATTCATGGTGGGCTCCTCAAAGGAAGACACCTTTTTTTAGTTCATATTTTTTATTCAGCTTTCTGCCCAGTGCTTAACTTATAAAATATGTTAAATTAATGTTACCTTACTGAATTAAACTCTGCCTTTCTTCAGAGAACCAAAATTTTTCTCTTACCTACACAGCCTTTGACTCTGAAGTTTCTGTTACTCATATAAGTAAGACATAGAGAAATTAACAGATTCCTTTTGTTTCTTTTAAGCTATGCTATACTATATTTTGTCTACCTTGTCTTGAAGTTATTCCTTATGTAAATAAATGTTTATGGCAGCTGATGAGAATCAAAGGTTTATTTAGTCACTTGTTTATTTATGCAACGTGTATTTGTTAAGCATCAGATATATTGTTTGTATCATGTTATTCTAGAAAGAAGTAAGCTGTTCATGATTTGGAAGTGTAATAATATTTCAAGCTATTAAGCTATCATTTAGTATGCTTCAATAGAGAGCAAAGAATATTAACTGAAAGAGTAAAAACATAAATAAAAAATATATATAGCTTAATGTATGGTCCTTAATTTGTGTTCTGACAATACACTTTTTATTAGGAACTGTGAATGAATCATTTATGACAGGATAAGAACAGTTTTCATTTCATTTTTTTATGTACTTATAATTTCAGGCATTTTGCATGAAAGATTTGATGTTTGCAATTGCTAGGATTTGTTTCTTTGCAACATAATTGCTTGGTTCATTCATCTTAAAATAATTTATTTTCTGAAAAAAATTCATTAACGCAAGCCTTTTAGAACTCACTCATATTTATAAAGCAATGTATTATAAACCTAAAAACCTGCTACATGATGCATTTAAATTAAGAACTCTGAATAAAGTGACATTGACATTGTAAAATATGTGATGCCAATATTAAGTATATCTAGTTAAGTGTTTAGTGAAAATTTGCCACTAGTGAGGATATAGCCGACATTATTTTTCTAAAATGTTAAATATGTTCTTAATGTTTTTGCATGCGTATGATTGAAAGAGAAGGCTGATATGAACTTAGCACAAATTCGTTAAGACTTAAATGGCTGTGTTGACTCAGTTCTAAGTCATTACTGGTTCTGGCACATGGTAACGGCCAAGTATACGAACAAATAAGTAACATATAGGACAAAGACAGCAGCTAAGTACATTTCATGTCTAAGTTTTTGTTTTGTTGAGGTAGTCCTTTTTATACTAATAGTAATACCAAGTTTTCCCCTGCATATCCAATGAAAAGCAAATCTGTGGTGAATAAACCTGCGTTTTTTAAAAAAATTGAGGCAGTACCTTCCACACCCCTGGCCTAGTAAAAGGGGCTTGATTTACTTGTTGATTCTTTAAATGATAGGTAAGGGTGTGTGGTTTACTGGTGACCTACCAAGTTACAACAAACCATCCACTTTCATGAAAGAAATAGCCAGAAAGTATCTATATAGGTAGTAATAGAGAATTGTGATGATAAAAATTAGCTAGAGGTTGGGCATGGTGGCATGCCTATAATCCCAGCACTTTGGGAGCCAGAGAAGGGCAGATCACTTGAGCCCAGGAATTCAAGACCAGCCTTAGAAATGTAGGAAGACCCCCATCTCTACAAAAAATTTAAAAATTAGCCAGGTGTGCTGGCACACACCTGTAGTCCCTGCTATACACGGAAGGCTGAGGTGGAAGGATCACTTGAGCCTGGGGCGTCCAGGCTGCGGTGAGCCATGATAATGCCACTGCACTCCAGCCTGGATGACAGACGGAGACCCTATGTCAAAAAATAATCATAAAATAAAATTTAAAAATTAACTTGAGAGATCAGTTAGTCTCTTTTGTTAAAATAGTGGCACATAAATCTGGTTACATACAGATGAGCTTCTAACCTATTATACTCTTCTAAATTTTTTAAAAAATGTTTTTGGATTATCAGTGTAACTAGTTATGTTCATTAACTAGAGCAAATTTTAAGAATTTCCTTCCCCATCCAATGCTACATATCTTTTGATTCTTTTTGCCTCTGTATTTCTCTGTCCTCCATATTTTTCACCTCTGTTCTGCATAGGATATATTTTTAGGAGGTTTCCAAGTTAGACCTTTCAGGTTTTGTCCAGATGACTATTATGTTCCCTAATTCTTGAGTCATATGAAAAATAATAATTTTAGTTTCTTAGATTTTGAAGACTCTGAAATATTTTTAACTTTGCCTTTGGATTTTTATTTATATAAACACTAGTATTGTTTTACCTTTCCTAATAAATCATTTGAGATGCTAATGTTGTACAGAAAGAAATAATTTAAATCAATTCATCTTTTATGGAGGCTAATGGTACCGAGTGAAAGATTTCTGAATCAACCAGGTTGATTGAGTAGGCTTCTTTCTAATAAACTGTTAGAATTTGAACTTTTTAAAGAAATTGCTATAATTTGTTGGCAAACAAATGTTTTCTCATGAAACACATTTATACACAAAAATGAAAAATACAATCATTTTTTACTCCAGAAAAATGCTTTAACACAGGGAAACCTTCTAAAAATACTTTTCAGTATTTTCATTTACAGTTACATTTACGGAAGAAGTATCATTTACAGCTAGTTTGTATAGTTACAAATTGTTCTTATCTAGTCATTAGAGAGCATCTTTTATAAACATAAGAGGATTTCTTTCATACTATAGGAACGAGTTGGACAAAGTCTCCCACATTTCACAGATAACCCATTCTCAGATGCAATAGAATTTGAATAGGATGTTGTTTTATTTGCACAAGCCAAATCTTTTGAGAGAAGAATATTACAGTTCAAATTAAGCAGTGAATATTTAATATATTAATGCTGTGTTATTTTAGAGAACAGATTTATAATTTCAGAAGAAAATTTTCTTTTAATAAACATGTAAATTGTCACTAAAGGACAAGCAGATTTTTATCACAATTAAATCTTCAGTGGTAACATGTATAACTTCGTATTTACTGTTTATGCATTAAAACCTTCCTCTCCCCTCATTTTTCTCCACTAAGTTTTCTCTTGTCTTAAATTGCAGTAGGAAACAAAAACACTTAAATGTTATACAAAGTAGGTACCCACTGGTTGTTGACTTAATAATATAGTTTAATTTATTGTATGACTTACTTTCCTTTTCACTTACTTTTTACTTTGCTTTAATTATTGTTACCATGTTTCTGAGAATAGGAGTAGAATATTGATGCTAAAGAAAGTGGTAGACATATCCCCTCACAGATGGCCTGGTTACATGCAGTTCTATTCTGAACTCTGTCTAGTCTAAGTACTGAGCTTTTTAAGCAAACTATTAAAAAAGAAATCTTCCCATACCTCCTTTTCCCCAACTGTGAAAAGGTAAGTCAAACTAAGCATCGAAGGCCCAAGCAAATTCTTACATTCTTTGGGTTTTACCATTTTCAATAAGGTGGTAATAATTTTAACTTTATACACAACAGTAATGTGCATCCTGCTAAGTGGTTTGATAAAGGTTATCCTTGGATAATATTAATCAGCCTTTTTTTTGTGAGACGAGTCTTGCCCTGTCACCCTGGCTGGAGTGCAATGGCGCGATCTTGGCTCACTGCAATCTCTGCCTCCCAGGTTCAAGAGATTCTCCTGTCTCAGCCTCCTGAGTAGCTGGGACTACAGGCATCTGCCACCATGCCCGGCTAATTTTTTGTTATCTTTAGTGGAGATGGGGTTTCACCATGTTGGCCAGGCTTAACTAGCCTTTTCTGGGGGTGTTTTACAACTCACAATTAGCTGCTTTACATTTTAATTGTAACTTACAAAAACTTTCCCCAAAGTTTGAAGGGATTCTACAATCTTTTTCTATTTGAAGATAGTAAAAAGGTTTATTATACTTATTCGTATAACCCCTTTCTGCCATAAGGTATAATAGACAAGATATTTAGAACAAATTAATAAATATTAATTGAAATGTGAGAACAAGGAAAAGAAGAAAACAAATACACTTACCAAAAAGTCACTATGATTGCTTTTGGTGTGCTTCATATTTAGTTGTGAGTCAGGACAAAAACAAAAATAATTTTAGTTTCATAATTTTTATTACAAAAAGGAGAAAGTGTATTAGTTCCCCTGAGGAAGCAGAGTTTTTCCTGATACCATATTATAAAAGAAATTTCTTAAGTGTCATTATGTACAGTACATATATGTTTTTTCATCTGATTTATTTACCTGATTTATTTCTTGCTTTTCCATTTTATTATTGCTGGTTGTGTTTATTTTCCTAACTTTGGGGAAGCAGAATTGTTCCTAGTGCCTACATTCATGACCATGCATATTGTTAATTGAATGTATACTCAAAAATAATTGTTGATAATAATTAATTTCACAAACAAATGAGCTTAGGTTTTGGTTTTAAGAAACAAATTTATTATTTCTTATAATCTTGCTATCTTGGATTGCATAGTTCCAAGATACAATGCCCTCATCTTTCCATGTTCATATTAGTACTTAACACATTTTATTATAATTTCTTTATATGACACCTCCCCAAGTAGTCACTTAATTGTGGGCTCCACTAGGTCAGGAATCCTATCTTATTCATTTGTAACTCTAATGCTACCCTATTACCTATGCATAATAAAGTATTCAGTAAATATTTTCATGAATGAATATTGACCTTAAGTATATTTTTCTCTCTCTTTTTTATAATTCAGAATTATGGCTTGGAAACAGAAAATCTGAAAACCCTTTCTCACAAGTTGAATGCATCTGCCAAAAATCTACAGAATTTTATAACAGGAAGGAGAAGGAGTGGCCATTATGATGGGAGGACCAGCCGAAAATTGCCAAATGACTTTCTGACCTCAGTTGTGGATCTGATTGGAGCAGCCAAGAGTCTGCTTGCCTGGTTGGACAGGTAAAGTCTTCCACATGCTTCATAAGTAACCTCTCCTCAGACGCCAGTTTGAATATAACATTATTTTGCATTTTCTTGTGAAAGGATTAGACAGGCAGAGGAGTACCAAGTAATAAATGTCTAATGATGATTTACCACAATATAGGGTATTGTCAAATAGATATTAATCTTTTGTAAAATTTGATGTCCAACTAAGTAGCCAATCAAAAATTAGTCTCTGACAACTGTAAAATACTTTTGCTGCTCTATTTAAAATTTTTTTAAAATTTTTATTAATTTATTTTTTTGAGATGGAGTTTTGCTCTTGTTGCCCAGGCTGGAGTGCAATTGCGAGATCTCAGCTCACCGCACCCTCCACCTTCTGGGTTCAAGCAATTCTCCTGCCTCAGCTTCCCGACTAGCTGGAATTACAGGCATGTGCCACCATGCCCGGCTAATTTTGTATTTTTAGTAGAGATAGGGTTTCTCTATGTTGGTCAGGCTGGTCCTGAACTCCTGACCTCAGGTGATCCACCTGCCTCAGCCTCCCAAGGTGCTGGGATTACAGGCATGAGCCACCGTGCCCAGCACACCTTTGCTGCTTTATAAGCAAAATCATTATTTGGCTGTCGTAATACAATTTATAAATTTTTGTTTATTATAATACTGCTCTGTCTCCTGATTTTCTTTATTTGTATTAATTGATTTTAATTAAGGAAATGACCATTGGGATGCTATAAACTGTTTTAAATAGGTAATTAGACACTGACACCTTTGTAACATGCCTTGTGTGTCCCCTTAGCCTCGCTTCATTCATTCTCTGTTATTAATTTCATTATACTATTTTGGATATCATAAACATACTTTTAAACTTTTTTAAGTTTAGGTGACTTTCATTTGTTTTGGAACACATAAAATAGTTTAAAGTCTTGTAATATGAAATGAAAAGTTTAGATTTAAATTATATACTGTATGTGGTTAAACATTATAATGATAAAACATTACAATGATTTATGAAAAAACTAAACAAGTTATCTACTTTAAGTTTTGGAATTTTTGGTAAGGGATATGTACTATGTTTAATGGCTAAATAATGAAATTTTAAAAATACTCTGTCTTTCATAAGAAACTCTGATAATATACATTACCAGAATTCTTTCTTGAATGTCAGTAAGATATTCATATGTGTTCATACACACACACATGCGCGCGCGCACACACACACAAACACACACATACACATACGCGCCAGCATAACATTTTGGCATTTTAAAACCATGAGACCTTATATTAAAAGTAAAGCATTTGTATTTTTAAGGTGAAAATTGAGATAATTTTTCTTAATTTTATATTGTCTAATTTTATATATATTTTTATATAATATAAAGTGATAATACTAAATGCAAATATGAAACACTAAACTATATATTACTAGCTTTTAATAATTAATGGACAGAATGTTTCTTTTGCATTATAACATTATTAAAATTTAATTTTCATAATTGTCAAAAACACATTATCAAGTGTTTAATTGCATTTTAAATATATCCATTCCAAAAGTTATGAATGGTCAGCAAGTAAAATATGGCTTAGTCCTTAAGTACTATTAATATAATACATTTGTTTTGGTAGGCTTCACAGTAATTAAAGACTTAAAGAACACATCCTTGATTATAATTATATCTTCTTTTACTCTCACTTTCCCTGTAATTATAAATTTGCTCAGCCTTGATATTTGCATTTAGTAAATTTATTTATATATATATTTTACCTTAGTATTGTTAGATGAATAGATAAAATGCGTGAATAGAGAATTTTTTTACTTCTTGATGACAGATATCGCACATTTCCCACACCATAGTTGTCCTTGAGATTTCATTGTATCAATTTTTTATGGTGGCATACTTTCATTATCTAATAAGATGCTTTTGGTAAGTGCCAATTCACCTACAAAACACATATGTGCATACATACCTACAAAAATATGTAAAAACACATGTAACAATCCATGAGGTCAATCCATGTTTTGTGTTTATTTCATAGTAAGAGAAAATATGACAAAAAGGCCAAAGGAAATAGCTTAAGTCATCTATTAGGCTCCATTTCTGCAAAGTTTCTCACAATGCTTATTTGGTGTTATATCATACTATGGTGATCAATTAAATCAAAGGTCATTTAACATTTTGATCATGAAAATGAAATAAAGACTTAAAAGGGAACAGAATACAACTGTGTGATAACTAAAATTTTCAATCAAGACTCTTATAAATTGACAGAAAAAAACTGAAGTTTATATTTTGAAGCTCTTTCATGGAAAAGTTCAGCTTTAGACTGGTGCTTTAATTATAATTCTTTAACATCTTAGATTTTGAAAAGAAAAGCAAAAGGAGAAGAATAAAAAAAGAAAAGATTATTTGCCATGGTAATGCATTTAGACTTTATATTGAAGTCAGTGGGGAGGTGCTTAGGGTCATGCTTGTGTTCAGATCTGTGAACTTGGAAGATTATTTGGGCTACAGTGTTGGGAAAGATTAGAGAAGAGTAAGGCTAGAAGAAGGGAAACCAGTTAGGAGGCTCTTGTAGGAATTAATCATGCTGCTACTTCTGGTGGTGATTCTGATGCTAAAATTGATGATGATGCCATCTCTTGGGTACTGATGCCTCCAGACACTCTCCTTTAATCAAAACAACCCTAGAAGGTTTGTCTTCATTTTACACATAGGAAAACTGGGAATGAAGGAGATTAAGTTCAAAACCAAGTGGCACATAAGTAGTGGAGCCAGGATTTAGTCTTGACAGTCTAACTATAGATCTTAATCTCCCCACTTCTTTTTGTTGATATTTTTAATTAAAGAAGCAGCAATGAGGATAGAAGAATGTTAGAGTTATTTATATAAATAAATAAGACTTGGTAACAGGTAAGATCTCTAGAGAGTAAGGAAAAAGAAGGCATCTGGGGTGAATAAGAGAAATCTGACTTGGCTGACCCAGTCGTGGTGGTAAGCCTCATGAAAATAGGTAGCTGAAGGAGAATTTTAGAATTAATCATTCTTATCCTACTCTATTTTCCATAACATTTAGACCCTTCCAATATACTGTATAATTTACTTATGTATTATGCATATTATTTTTATCTTACTGTTCTTTATATGATGTCCACTTCAAGAGAGCAGGTAGTTTTCGTCTACTTTGTACACTGATATCACAGTTATCTAAATGAGTTCTAGTCAATAGTGGCTGCTCAAAAAATATTTTCGAATGAATGGAAAAAAGTGGGATAAAGAATGAGGCCTGTGCACCACCACCAATTGAAGAATGGTTAGAAGTTTGGCTTATAGAAAAAAAAATAAGAAGGCATAACCAGAGAGGTAGGAGGAAATCAGCTGAGAGTGATGTGATGGAAACAAAGTGAGTAAAGAGCTTTAAGGAAAGAAAATAATGGTCAGTAGGGTCAAAGGCTGCTGAGAGATGAGGCAGGGTAAGGACTGAAAGTGGTAGGTGGTCAGGGTATCTGTGACTTTAGTTAGTTGGAAGTTAATGATAACTAAGAACTCTTCTTTGAAATAAAATTTCTCTGCGATTGTTTGTAGTTCAGGATAGTTTTGTGTCATGTTTACTTTCTGTTTTCACAGGTTTTAAATCTTTTGCCAATAATAGGAAAGAGGAAAGTTAAATGATGAGCGCTACTAATATATTTGGGAGCTTGACCTTGCTTCCTCCTCTGCCATGGCTTGTTATGAGTATTTTAACTGCTCCTTGGCTTATATTAATTTCAGAAAGTCCTGAGATCAATTTAAATCTAATAGGATTTTATCTATAACTGTACCAGGTGAAATGTTTAGGCTGTTTGATTACCTGACAAGTAGTCCAGGCTTTTATTAGAGATTGTTAGTGGGTGTATGTTTAAGTTATAATTTTATTCCTTTTAAAGAAAAAAAATGTTTTCTAGGTAGCAGCAGGAGTACAAGCCAGCCCTCCACATGCCCTCTTGTTTGAGTGTGTCCTACAAACTTTACACATTAATCAAATGCTAGAAAAGCCAGAAGAACAGCGTTCTCCATGACCATTACTGCGAATTCCCACCAAAATGCATGGTAATGTAGCATAAGAGAGCATAGGGCTGAGAGTTGAGTCTCAGCTCCCCTCTAACCCTCCATAACTTGAACCTTAACCTCTATTTTTATTTTCCTTTTAGAATAAGGATGTAAGACCTGCAGAATTTAAAGTTCTTTTCTAAGCACTAATATTCTATGATATAATGCATTGATCTTGACTAATACCATATGGGGAATATTTTCAACTTATTTCCCTGTATATAATATCAAAGATAGACACCGACAAAATTTCGTAGTGACTTTTGGAAGAATGATTTTTAATTCCTATCTCTTTTCTAAATAAATTTAGTTAATATTTTTGTTTGTTTCATGTTAATTTATTAAAAACTTTAATTCTTCTCTATGTTTTGCTTATATAAAGAATGTGTCTTTTCTTTTTTGTTTGCTTTTCAAGAATTTAGAAATTAAATACTTAATTATGAAAGTTCCACAGAAACAATTTTGACCAAAAATTTTTAATGTTTCATTGTATCAGTGTAGATTTGCTTTAATTTGGGGGCTTTAAAATGAATACTGTAGATGAATACTGCCAAGTATATGATCTTTAACTTTAGTTTATTCCTTCAATATGTAATATTTTACTTGAAGAATAAATTTTTTTTTCAGTTAAATAGGATTAATTTGATGTTGAACAACTTTTCATTTTTAAACAGCTGTAAGTTTTTTGGCATTACAAAATTTTTATTATATTTTGGAGAAAACTTGCATGTACAGCAATATGATTTGGGTTTACTACATTTTTTTTTTATGTTACTTGAAGGAGGAGAAAAAAAAAGAGTAAGTGAAAAATCTTTAATTTGTCCTAGATGCTGAACTAGATGCTTTATGCATACATTCATATATATATATATATATATATATATAATCTCAGCTCATTGAATTCTCACAAAGCAGATATCCTCATCT